ACAATAGGCTAGTTCAAAGTTGGTCGATCGGCATTTTTGATCGCAAATTCTATTGGTCTGTGTAACCCGAACAGACGCGATCAACCAATAACGTTGATCGTTTTGTTCGATCGACCATCCCAATCAATCAACTTTGAACAGGACTAATGCAATCTAACGAAAGAACTTCGACTAACGTATTAATCCTTCTGATTCTTGTAAACCTGGACTTCAAATTGTTCTTCAGAATCTTTAGGTTCATCGTCAGAAAAAACATGGCTTGATTTAATGAAATGTGCCAATAATAAATTTTCAATATTTTGTTGATATGTCATTTGAGAATTTTATATGTTGTTTTAAGGAAAAAAAATATATAAAATTATTTATTTTTGAAAAAAAATTTCGATCAATATTGATCACATGCTGCGATCAAAAATTTAATCAAAATTGAACTGGAATTCCAAATAATAATAATAATAATAAAAATAATAATAATAATAATGTAGCTCCGTATTTTTTTTCTAAATAAGAACCAATTCAATCAAAATTGGTTTTGGTTTTCAACTTAAAAGTCTACATTATCTTTATTTAAAAGTTTTATTTATTTTATGATTTCAAATAAATTTTTCTTATGTTTTTCAACAAAATTATTTTATTATTTGAGTAACTAACTTTTCTTTGCAATAGTTTTAATTATTTAAAAAGTTTCTGCTTACATTATTGTAATTTGTAAAAATTAACTCAATCAAATATTCTTTATAAAACTAAAGAATCTTATATATCTGATATTCATATTTACAGGATTTTTTGATTATATATATATTTTTTTATTATCATTTATAATTATATTTCATGACAAAGTGAACATTGGTTGTATTTATTAATTTTGATTTAGCCAACCAATCAGATATCGGATTTATTGGTCACAATTTTAGTGTAACCCTAATCAAAAATGCTTCTTAAATAAAAAAATTTATGGTAAATATCAAAAAAATGGAGAAGGCAAAAAGAAACTATGAAGAAACCAAGGAGGAGTTAAAGAAATGAAGGAAGAGAAGTTAGACGAGTTATATAAGGGGTGGTAAACAGGAGACGAATTATGAAAAATGAAGAGATGATTTAAAATGAGAAAAAAAGAGGTTGAACATGAATGTGAACGATTAGGGAAAGCGGTTAGGAAGGTTTCAAGATGTATTATTAAAATATAATAAAAAAGATAATAAACAAATTGCATAAAAAAATTATTTTTGCTCATATTTTATTTATTTCTTTATTTGTATACTACAGTAAACTCTTGATATAACGAATTCTAGAATCTGGATATCAACTTAGTTATAAGCTTATAACGAATTTTTTAAAGAATTTAATTGGCTAGTTCACTATAGTAAGGTAATTTTAATATATTTGA